TTTATAATTTTTTTCAAAAGATAGAAAAGACTAAAACGATGCCGATTTATTTTTTAGTATAATTAAGTCATTTTAACATGTTATAATAATAATAATTAAATTTTTTTTTAACATGTTATAATAATAATAATTAAAAAAAATTTACTCCTAGTAAATTTGATAATGCCAAATTAACATTATGAAAAGACAACCCCCAATTTTCACTTAATTGGCTACGCTGTAATAATCTACATTGCAGTGAATCTTAATACAAAGTAAAGCACTAGTCCCTTCTTCTTCTTTTTAATTATATGAAAATGAATGGCACCAGAAAATATTGGTAAACGTATTCATTCACACATCATAGATTTTACAGGGAATTTTTGCACGCTATAAGATAAACATATTGAAGGAGCGTGCCGTAGATCTAGACCATGGCTCTGCAAATTTATTAACACTTAGCTTATAAGGTTTGTTTCCAGCAGTATTGAACGATTCTATGTATTCAACATTGTCCTTGAAAATCTCGAACCGTCTTTCTTTCTCTGCAGCATCTGCATAGACCTTTCCAAAAGTTGCCATCCATTGCTCATGCCTGGCAGACATGGATGGCTCTTGGAGCTCCCGAGATGCTACTTCATAAGCCCACGTTCCCAAGATGAGGATAAATGCGATGATACATTGCCTTTTGCATATCGAAACCATGGTTTATCTAGATGATGTAGTTAATCTGCTTGAACTAGAAATGAATGAGCTACACATACGCAGAAAACGTCTATATATAGTATGTTAATGTTCCTGTTAATCTGATTGCTTTATGAATCTATACGCACTTGTTTAGGAAGATGAAGACACCTCCCGTGCTTAGATCAACCGGCAAATTGCATTTGATTTAGATGGCCTGGTAGTGGTGTACCGTGCAGTCTGCTCTGATATATGGCTAAATGTTTTCTCAACTATCTATATGCGTTTTTATGGTACAAGACAAAAAAAAAAAAAAAATATAGGAAATGTTTGATGGTTGTACATTGATCACCTTCGCGCGGATGATTCAATTATTTAATGGGATAATAGTGTTAATGTGCGCAAACAAACATCAGAAAGGAAATGTTTTGGTGAAGTTTTATGTATTGGTGCTCTAAAAATAATTGTGAAGTTGATTAGTGTAAAATGAAATTCTAAAATAGCTTCTAAAAAAAATGAATTAGATATTAATTGAAAGTCTGATTCTTTTAAGAAATTTAATTATTATAATTTCAGCATAAATAAAATGCAATGGAAAGCAAGAAAGAGATACCTAGTTTATAGGGCTTCAAACAATCATCTAGTCCACTCTTTGAATCTTTATCTAAATATTTAATATTAATTTATAATTTTTTTAATAAGTGAGACTTTACCAATACACTAATCTTTTTATATAATTAATTTTATAAAAAATTGTACTCACAATTTTTTTAATGATTAAGATTAAAAATTTTAATTACTCACACCCAATATTATCTTGCTATTTACGTATAACGTGCACTTTTATAATAAAGAAGATTATAATAAAGTTGGGCTTGGTGAAAATAATCTATCTCAGTAGTATGAAATAGTTTAAATTTTTTTAAAAATTATGAAAATAATAATAAAATTTTTAGAGTAGAGAATTTGTAAGCATCAAATATTATAAAATTTAAGCTTGTATGTTATTTCTCATTAAATAAAAATGTGGTATAATAAGGTGAATAAATTACACATGTTACTCTCATAAGCAAATAGAGTCAAGTATTTTGAAATTTTTGGAGCCTTCTTCATCTTATTAGGAACGAATATATCACAATTTTAAAGAAAAATAGTTATGGCGAAAGGTTAAGTATAAAACAAGTTAACCAATTAAGACAATTTAGTTTTCATATAAAAAGTGAAGTACAATTCATCTAAAAATTTCAAATTTATTATTTTAACTAAAATTGATTAAAAAAAATACAAGAGCTCACACATAAAGTCTGGTAGCCAAAAAAACATAAAAAACGCTTTTTAGTAATTAAAAGCATAAAAGAACATGTGATAAAGTTCATGTTATTCATTTAAAAAAAATCAAGTGATAATACTAAATTATTTGATAAAATAAGTTCTTTTTCACTATATATAAGTTTTGGCGATAAAAATATTTTGAATGATAAATTTTGGCAATTAAAAATAATTTTAGATTATATTTATTTCTATTATTCCAAAATAAATTCTATAAAAACTTGATTACAACAACAAAACTATCTTCAAATCATGTTTGTATCTAAAGAGTCCATATTGCTTCTTAATGTGGAAAATTTTTTACAACAATAGAATCTTTGACATACATGCTAAATTCAATACTTATTGTTATTATTAAAATAATTAATTCATATGCATTAAAAAGCTTTGGGCTTACAATTGGGAAATGTGAAAACCTTATCTTCTTTCAAACAATAAAATTGAATTTGAATTGTAAAACACAATGATTAAATCAAGCTTCTAGATTAATAAAAAGAAAAAAAAAACTAAATCATATTGCGTTTTTAATATTGAAAGTCTGATATTCATTCTTTCATAAATTATTATGAATTAGAATAATACATTTTCTTTAATTTTTTTATATTGATCTTCAAACTTTGTTTTTGCACAAATAAGCCCTTTTGAACTCAAATTAGCACCCAATTGTATTTTTTTAAGAGATGAATGGATTGAAAAACAGAGGATTAAAGTGAAACAAACAAGTAAAATAGGTCTCGTGACTTTGAATTTCATACAAAAAGTTTATTTTGATCTCCCCATCTTTTTTGGTTTATCGATGATTGGTTCCTTTTGTTGTTAAAAATTTAATTTTAGTACCAACATTTTTTTCTCTTATTTTCAGTTCTTCTTAAAAGAGAGAGAGAGAAACAGAGCTACTAAATTCTAGCATAGAGAAAAAAAGTGATTATTGTCAACAACTATACCATAAAATGGTTGAAATCAATGTCAATGAGTTTCATTTCATGAAGGGAATCTCACATAGATGCTTTTTTTTTTCTCCTCGCTAAAGGAGATAAATCTAACCACAAGAATATTTTTGGGTATAAGTTAGTTTGCTAAAGGAGATAAATCTAACCACAAGAATTTTTTTGGGTATGAGTTAGTTTTTTATTTTAGTTTTTTCTTTATGTCATTGATAGGTTTACCATTTCTATATGTTTTTGGGTAAAAAATGGGTTGAAAATAAATTTTAAAGCAAAACAAATTGAGGTCCTATTTTTTTGGTGATCTCTAGTTGTCAAATTTTATAGAAAACAGATGACACATCGTCTACTGTCTTTTAAAAAAAAATTAAGACAAGCTATAAGTCGTCTACCACTTTAATAATTTTTTTTAAAATATAAAAGTAGGCCTAGATATGTGGGTTGTGCTGGAAGGCCCATGTGTTTAAGCTCTTTTTAATCTTTTTATTATTATTTTTTTATTTTATATATACATTAAGAAATTAATAAAAAAATTTATTGAACTAGAGTAAGTCCGTAAGTCGGATCATAGATTGAATGTGTTAATTCGCAATATCCTAGTTATTATTTGTTATTCTTTTTTAAAATCTTTTTATGCCCCTCAATTTTATTTTATTTAAAAAATACAATTTCATCATTTGTTATTAATTTGTTATTAATGATCTAAAAAATACAATTTCATCATTTGTTATTAATGATCTATTTTTTTATTTTATTTAAGTTAAATCTAAAATAATGCAATTTTATCATTTACTATAAATTGTCTATTTTTGTTATCTCCACCCCACGTGCCTATTATGATTTTTTATTATTTAAAAAATTGTTTCAAACAAAAAAAATCAGCATGCTCTTTATTATTGTCATATAATTAAATAAAAAATAATTTATGAGATAAAAAAATTTATTGAATTTAATGATGTGCATAACTTGTATTACGAGTTTGTTTGGTTCACTCGATTTTACATAGATTTTTTTTTAGTTAAATGTTGTTTTTATATTGATTTCTTTCTTCAATATTGAGTTAATTTAAAATTAGAATTTTTAATTTTTTTTTAAGATTACTCATATGAATTTAACAAGTTAGTCTAAATTAACCTAAGTTGATCAAATATTTTTCTATCTTGATATTAAATAAAAATATTATTCAATTCATAATTAAATCATAATTAAAGTCTATTTGTTTTATGAGACACATTATCAATTTCTAAGTATTTTTTTCACTTCGAAAAAGCTTTGTTCTAACCATCATGTTCGAAAAAGCTTTGTTCTAACCACCATGTCGCGCGAGATGTAATAAATAAGATCACTAATTATAGATTGTTAAGTTGTTTATATTATAATATAAATAAGATATGTAACAAATAAATAAATCATAAACAATAAATGATAAAGTGGTTTTTCTTGTTAATTTTAAAAAGTGGGAATTCAAAGTTCAAACCCTGTAAATTAGGGTTTTTCTTGTTAATTAGTCAATGCTTGATCTATTAAAATCCAATTAGCTAGATTAATTTTAGTAGTTTTTGCATAATTTGACATGTCCGGCCCAACAATAAATATATATGTTTTCTAGACATTTTAAATAATCTGAACTTATTACATTCCATTAAATATTGAAATGGTGCCTTTTAATGCCAGAAAAGGTGCCTGAGAAAATATCATCAGCTTGCTAGTAACCCGTAAACCATGCTTATCAACAAGAGGGGGAGAAAAAATCTAAGCATTTTTTATAATTTCTAATAATAAAGTTATTAAATTTCAATTTCTTTTTTTTTTTAGTCATATAAAAATAGTGCTCGATCTTGGTCACTCTTGTCCAATAATGCATAAATCTTTCGATGGAAATATTCAATTATGATATTGTTCTTTCATATCTTCCGAAGATCCGCCATAACTTAAGAATATAGAACCTTCACCAATTTAATATGCTATCTAATATTGGCGAACAAACATTTAAAAGTCCCAATTACTTCACCGAAAAAAAAGAAAAAGGAAGCAGGATACTTTTTTTAATATGAATGGCACCAGACAATATTGGTAAACATATTCATTCACACATCATAGATTTTATAGAGAATTTTTGCGAGCTAGAGGATAATCATATTGACAAGGTGATCGAGACCATGGCTATATATTTAGGCAGTTGGATAAGAAGAGTCCATGGCTATGCCACAGAGACCTTCCTCGGCATCTACGTCTCTCTGCATCCTTATGTATCCTTCCTCACCCCAGCTGGTGCCCCATGAATTCTTGACAAGCCAATATTTGGTACCGTCACTAGTTTCGCCATAACCAACTGCTGTAACGCCATGGTCCAGCTCAGTTCCACACTGTCCTGTGAAAACACCACTTGAATAGAATTGAAAGTCAGAGCCTCCTGCATCAATGGAAACAGAAATTGGCTGATTGGCCACAGCCTTCAATAATGCTGCCTCGCTGTTAGCCGGAACACTTTCATAGCCAGTTATTTTGGCTATGTGGGATGCCTCCTTTTTTGAGTTGCAAGTCCCATCTGCTGCCTGGTAAGGGTAGTTAGCTTCAGATGTGATGCCATGGTTCTTGATTATGAATTCGAAACCATCTTCCATGAGACCACCCTCGCATCCTTGATCCTCACCTTGGGTGTCGCAGTCTACAAGCTCTTGCTCAGATAGGGAGACCAATTTACCTGTGGTAAGTTGATTGATGCCCTCGGTAGCTGCTACGGTGGAAAAGGCCCAGCAGCTGCCTGTTTTTGTTCCAAACAAAATCAGCACAACAATGATGACATTAATTCATGAACATGCAAGATCTAGTATTTAGCATAAAATCAGCGGCAGGGGGCAATGTTTGGTTCACTAATAAAGCTTACCACACTGGCCTTGGTCCTTGATAGGAGTAACGGCACCTTTCTTTCTCCAGTCCATGGTGGCAGGAACAGCGGTAACATTTTCATACTCGAATGATGTTACTTTCATTGGCCTTGTCTGAAGTGGCCTCCTATAGCCATTACGGGCGACCTTGAGCTCTTCAGTGGTTAGGTCTGCAAATTTATTAACACTTAGCTTATAAGGTTTGTTTCCAGCAGTATTGAACGATTCTATGTATTCAACATTGTCCTTGAATATCTCGAACCGTCTTTCTTTCTCTGCAGCATCTGCATAGACCTTTCCAAAAGTTGCCATCCATTGCTCATGCCTGGCAGACATGGATGGCTCTTGGAGCTCCCGAGATGCTACTTCATAAGCCCACGTTCCCAAGATGAGGATAAATGCGATGATACATTGCCTTTTGCATATCGAAACCATGGTTTATCTAGATGATGTAGTTAATCTGCTTGAACTAGAAATGAATGAGCTGCACATACGCCGAAAACCTCTATATATAGTATGCTAATGTTCCTCTTAGTTTGATTGCTTTATGAATCTATATGCACTTGTTTAGGAAGATGAAGACACCTCCCGTGCTTAGATCAACCGGCAAATTGCATTTGATTTAGATGGCCTGGTAGTGGTGTACCGTGCAGTCTGCTCTGATATGTGGCTAAATATTTTTCTCAACTATCTAAATGTGTTTTTATGGTACAAGACAAAAAAAAATAACCTAAAAGAAATGATTTTTTAGTATTTAATAATTGAGTTGAAAGTAATTGTAGTCTTTAGTCTTGGCAGGATCATGCTACCTCTAACATTGTTAATTTTTCGATAATAAATCCAATCAAAATACTAATTTCTTCCTTTTCTTGGCCATCATAGAGGACAGATGACTCGCCTTAAGAGTTGTAATTTCTTTCATAGGGTAGCATTAAAAAAAAAAATTCGTACTTTGAAAATAAATCCCTTAATAAGATAGTTTTAGAATAAATTTATATATTTTAAAAAAATGAAATGTAAAGATGCCTCATTTGTCCCCATTCTTTTTATTTCCAAACACTAATCAAATGCTATCCTAGGAGTTTTGGAAGTGTTGTGAGTTTAGAGCATTAAAAGTTTGGATTATCAGTTGTAATTTATCTCTTCAACCAACCAAACATATTAATGTTCATTGCTGTTTTCTTGTCCTGTGAAATCCCGTGTTAAACACTATACTAAAAAGATTTAATTTATCATCTAGATGTGTTTATAATTTGGTTAATTGTTTACTGCAATCTGATGCTAATTTATCTACAAGCATAGGTATGCTTTCTTTTTGTTTTATGCTTCTGGTCTCCTTTTCACTCTAATTTTTCTCCTTGATGATAGGTGTTTGAAGCCAATTTTCTGGCTTATTAAAAACAAGTGTTTTCAGCCCTTCAACTTATATATATAAGTTGAAGGGCTGAAAGCACTTGGTGTTTTCAGCCCTTCAACTTATATATATACAAGTTGAAGGGCTGAAAACACTTATTTTTAATAAGCCAGAAAATTATTAACAAGTGCATTTTTAGTGTTCTTTTTAACAAAGATTTGTATTCAATGTTTAATGGCATGGACATGTTGGAGGGGCTTTAAGATGAAAGATGGTGATAATAGTTGGAGATTCCCTCAACAGAAACCAATGGGAACCTCTAGCTTCCCTTCTTCATTCTGCCATATCTTCTTCTTCAGCTCATATTGATGGAAGCAGTGTCTATAAGGTCTTCAAAGCAAAGGTAAGATTACAATATTTTACTCTGTTTCAAATCCTCTAGTGATTCTTAGTAGGAGATTAGTTGAATTATAACCATTTATCAACTCGAGAAACACTTGAAACGTAGGATTTTACTCCTGTTACCGGAGTTTTGTTGAGCCCATTTTAGGAGTAAAGAAACGGGAGCAGAGTTCTAAGGCTTCTTGACAAACTGTCGCCCTTAGCCCAAAAGTGGCGGGGAGACGATGCCATGGTTTTCAACAGTGGCCATGACTTGGTGGGTTTATAGTGGGAAGCTCAAGCCGTAAGTTTCTAGTAAACTATAATGAATTTGAAAGACAAATAATGTCAAAGTGGATGTCAACTTTTGCAGGTGGGGTTTGTTCCAATAACAAGGAAAATTAGCAGAGGAGATGACTGAATCTGCATTCAATGAAGGCATTAGGACTTGGCCTCATTGGATCAATCGCCACCTTGATGCGACCAAAACAACCATCGTTTTCTGTGGCATATCACCACAACACCAGTGTTACAATAAAACACGAACCATCATGGTTGAATCTATGTGTGCATTTCCTGACCCAGCAAAAGAAACTATTGAGAAAACAATTGGAAGCAAGATGATCTCAGTGAGATACCTGAACAATACCAAGCTATCAAGAGTACAGAAGAGATGCACATCCAGCTTTGTATGCAAGAAAGCAACACGGGCCTTTGAAAACTGATCTGCAACAGCAAAAACAAAGGCTCATCGTGGTACATGGAACAAGCTCTTGCATGTATCCGTGGTCTTGGACACTGCAATTTCCTCACATTTGGCTGTTTGACATTCAGCAAGACTTGTGATGTGTCTAGGTTTATTATTATCAGATCATTTAACTTGTTATTAGTCTGCACTATCTTCATCAATTGCCTACAATCTAGGTATCCTCCAGAGCTGTATTGTGCCTTGGTTTTAGAATTACTAACAACAAATTTCAAGAAATTCACATGTAGCAAATCTTGCAGCTCTTAAAACAACTGAAACTTCATGGAGGAAGGAAATAATCAATTCCTTCAAGTGGTTTGGCTTGGAACTCAAGGCATTCACAATACTCACAGGCCATACAAGGTAAATACTTGTGTCCCCATGATGCGAGGATATCATAAAATAACTAAATATAACTTCACAAATTTCTCCATTATAGATCAGGGTTTTTTTTTTTTTTTAATCTCTGCCGTTTACCGACTTCAGCACTCGGGAAGAAAAGAATGCATGCAGAGGGGAATAAGGGTTGAGAGAAACAAGGCAATCATTATTAACATCTGGCACAACATCCTAATCACCCCATTCAACATTTATATACACGTACGGATGCGTTACTAATACTAAACACTACTGGTATCTAGACAAGCTCCCATTCTGATTCAGAGGGATCATGAGAAGAGGATCTGTTTGCTTCCTTTATAGGCAGAGTTGCCCTTAAACTTGTTTTACCCTCTTCTTGATTGGATTTTGGATCCCTTCTGAACTGTACAGCAAGCTGCTCATATTCCTTCCTCACTGACCTCTTTCTTGAACCAAAAACATCCCGAATCTTCTTCTAAACAAGAATGTTTAGAGAAATATTTTACAAGGAGAGAGAAAGCAAGAATGTTCATGATCGATCAAGTAAATGGAGTAGAGAGGTTACCTTGTAAGGCTTGTTTTTTCCTTCACGAGGAGCATCAAGTTCAACTCCATTCATCAAAATACAGGTTTCCTCAAGCTGAGCCTTGTCTATTTGTTGGATGATTTCCATATCCTCTTCAATGAGGGCACCATCTTTGTCTGAATCTATGCCCCATTCATCTGAACTTCCAGCAAGTTTAGACCAACATCAGTGAGTATATAAATTAACAAGACAATAGGAAAAACCAGTGTTTATAAATCATATATACAGAATGAAAATTTGGAGAAAATGGACTTTGGAAAATATAGATGCCTAAACAGGATTGACTTGAGAAGCTGTTATTAGGCCAACACACCAACCCCGAGATTCATGCATGATCACTTTTTCCATGTTTTTTTTTAAATTTTTGTAAACTTAATTGTTATAAATTTTAACACCAACCCCGAGATGCATGCATGAGCACTTTTTCCATGTTTTTTTTTTTTAAATTTTTGTAAACTTAATTGTTATAAATTTTAGATTTGCAAGTTTCATCTGGCATCATGGAATGTTCATTATGAATTCAATGCTTTCAGAGACGACTTAACATTCACATAAATAGTGCTGATAATTGAACTTTGTTCTCTCTTTCCATTTGTTTTTCCGTTAAATGTTAGAAATTTAATTAAAGAAAGAGACAAAGTTAAGAGAGGTGCAACCTATTTTTAATCTTAATCATAAGCTGTACTGTAGCCAGGAATTCCAATTCATGACAAATGAGTATTTCAACAGAAATAAACAGAACCATCCAAAAGAAATAGACACCCTTCCAGACACAATCAGAAGTAGAGATGCAATGACTTCCAGATACAATGACGTTCAGGTGTCTACGCTCTAGAACCACTCATCTCTGTTTCTATAATAACATTAACCTTACCATTCCTTATCAGACTAGTGAGTCAAAGATAGTCATGGTAGGCCATAAATTTAAGGCCAATCCAAGTACCCTAATAAGTGGTCCACCAGTCCCTCTAAAATATTTAAGCAAAACAAAACATACACACATATTTTACCAAATAAACAGAGTACTTGCATTTTCATGCAAGCTTGATCATATGAATGAACAAATTGCTCAATCCTAAATGACCGAAAAAACAGATCCCTGAAACTTATAAAGATAAAAGCCATTAATCTGAAAATTAAGTAAAGGCATTAATCCATCAAGGCTTCACCAGAATGTGATCCTAGAGGTGAGCATCGAAACAAATGCTATCCTCCAGCAGTTTGCATAAAAAAGCTGCCTCAAAATTCAAACCCATACCCTTGTGCTTGCAAGGCCTGGACATTACCATTTGAACACAAGCAATGGAGGCTTAGCCTAAGGGATTAATTTTTCAGGAACAAATATTCCAAGTTTTGATATCTAACCACCATTAATGAGCTAGAATAAAAATTCACAACTTTTGGACACGAAGGACAGAAATATGGGTTTAGCAAAGGAAAAAAGAATTTTACACAATATGGGTGGGAAGGAAACAAGTTTATCCCTTTTATCTATTTTCAAATGTAAGATCTTGAATTTCAGAGACTGTGGACATGATTGGCTACAGGGTAAGAGAGTTAGATACTACATATAACAGAAATTAAGATTTGTCAAATGGATATAATCCATGGAATTACACTCAACCATACAACACTCATGAGCACCGCATAAAATGAGGTACTATATTAACCAAAATAAAGTTTATGTCAATCAATCCATTGTGTTTGAAAATTCAAATGAAATAATGTAAAGAAACTTATGTCATGATTGACACTGGATAATAACTGGAATCAGGTTTTATACAACTTTTTCAATGTTTAAACTAGGTATAATGGCCTTTGTCTAATCCAAAACATCAGGAAACAAAGAACATGATCAACTGTGGATACATGAAGATTTATGTACCCTTGTTGCAGTATTATGTTTGTACAATGCTAATGTAGTAACCAAGAAAATAACAGGAAAAAAAATTATATAATGCTAACAGCTAAGCAGATCAATCCTTCCTTGAAAACACAACAGCCATAACTCAAGAACATTACACCAACATCTGTGCTACAGAAACAAGATACGAATATACGCTATTTAGCAGTCTTGAGAGTGCACAGATTGCCAGGTTGAATGGGAAAGAGAGAATTTTTTTTTGACATCATTATATCTGCTACATGTATTTTTAGTGATTGCATTATATCTGCTGCATGTATTTTTAAGTGCAGAAATGCAACAGAAGCATACCTGAATTAGACACAAAATCCTCCTCGTATGCAAATTTGTTAGTCTGCATATTCCCATTTGCAGAAAAGTCTGTCATAGAAACCAACCCATTGTTCAAACAAACACCTGCAGCTGCCAACAAGAAGTCAAAAGAGAACATTCTACAAGGATTGGAAAAAGTAAATAATCAGAAAGAATGGTGCAGAAATCTCACCATTTGATTCTTCTAATAGGTTGATGCTGGAAGGCCTCCTTTCTGTTCCTTCATGCTTGCCAATTTCAGTGATACTACCCATATCCAATGATGGTTTATAGAATGAAATATCAAGCATGTGCTCCCTAGCATTTTCAATCTCTTTTTTACTTTTTTCTATGGAGAAATGCTCTGTAACTTCAACAGACCCTGGAGTTATAAGTCTTGCATTCCAGTCACAAGATGCTTCCAGATTTTGATCAGAATGTTCTGAAATTGTTGAGCATCCAATCAGATGTTTACTCGAAGGAGTGGTGATCCCTGATGTCTCTTTTGGAGACACAGTCTTGCAATTAGAGTTTTCATGCATACCCAGGTTTGATTTATTGGACAGACTTCCTTTACTATGTTGCCTTGAAATTCTTCTGATAGAAATCCTTTCCCGTACTGGGAGACGGTCAGGACCATTATCAGTAACCATCTTTGAATACCCAGTCAACATCCTCAAATCATCAGCCTTCTCACATGTTTCTTTCGCACCATCATCTGTTTTCAAGTGGACCCCAACATCAGCTGTTCCCAAATCTACAGGCAACTTAGAGACTGCCCCATTTGCAGGATCCTCTGAATCTGGAGAGCACAAATCTTGAATGACATCCGAATAGAATTTCCTCACATTACCACTAACAGTCTGCATCTGATTTTCCACATATTTAACTGCTTCCTGTCCAAAACAACAACCAAGCCTCAATCCCAAATAATACAAGTAGCCAGAGGAAATAACTAGCTTTAGACAAGTCAATTACTCAATTCCCAGTGACATATCAATCAAGCCATCAACAACTGGATGGAGAAAATAAATAGGTAACACCCGGAAAGGAAACACACATCAAATATAAGAGTTCAAAGGAGATATCATCATCAATCTCTTTCCAAGAAATAAATAAAAAATGGTAAAGGCCAATCTCATAAGAAAGCCACAATAGTACAACAGTAGCTTTGGAAGAAACTGCACTGTTCTTGCTGCTTCCAGCTGCCAACCAGTCTCCCATGTCGGCAGTTGAGGAATACAGCCCTTGGACTGGCCTTGAGCTATAAGTTATTAGTTTCAGGTCAAATTATGTAAAAGGAGATACCTCGCACATAATTTCTTCCACTTCCAACAATCTAGCTTCAAACTTCTGATAAAAATCACCAACCCATGTTATCCCTTTCAGGTCCATATTGATCACAAATTTGCCCTGCAGCAACAGGTGTTAGACTTCTTCCAGTTTGTATCTTAATAGAATGATTGCAATCCTCTCAGATTCTATTTTCTGCCAGAATTTAAACAAATATTCAGTTAGTGGGGGGAAAAAAAACCAGCTCCCTGCTCTTTTGCCTTGACTATACTCTTCAAATAACCTCAATTTTCACTCATTAAAAGAAAGAAATATAAAAACAACTACAGAAACAAACATCAGCACAAAAAAGAAAACTGCAGAAGCAAACTTTACATCAATAATTTAAAAGATTTTTTGTTTAATCTAAGCTCAAAATCAAAACCTTACATCAATAATGTATTGGACCGACATAAAAATTATATTAAATTCTTGCACCCGGTTGTATAAACATTATCCATATAAATCTATACACTTAACACACCTAAAAGTCTATAAATTTGAAATTCATTTATAACCCTCCAAGCAATTCCTTGGACATAAGAAGATAACTCAAAACGTGGAGTGTCAATTAAGAGTTATTGTTGTGGCGTTCAAATTTCCCTTAGAAAAAAAGTAGTACACTTACCTTATAAAACTGGTCATCGATAAAAAAAAATAAAAAAATAGTAGTAAAATAAAATAGATCAGTGCATAATACTCACCTAAAAAACCAAACTCAAAAAACAAGCATGAGAGAAAAGAACCAAACTTCAACACAAAAGCAGTGCTTCATAAAAGTTGATGATCAAAGAAAAGAAAACCCTTTTGAAGAATAGCTAATTTTGAGTAACCCTTTCGAGAAAAAGCAAACAGAAGAAAATAAAGACTGTAGACTTTGAGAATTAAAAATATGGAGAGAACTTACTTGGTGTAAAAGGCCAAGTTAGTGATGCCCAGAAGCCTAAACCCCCCGTCTCTCTCTCTTCCTTTTTTTTTTTTCAAGTATCAGAAGCCAAAACCTCTTCGATCATCCATAGAAACACTTTAAATAAATAAAGCTCCATTTGAGCTCAGACTTCAACAGTTCTACGTGGACCCAAAACTCTTTTTTATCTCTTTATATTTTGAAAACAAAAAGAAGATGAAAACGAAAAGGAATCAAAGATTAGACATGAAAATTGAAACGGCTTCTTGATTGAAACGTGTAAGGAGATTAAAAAGAAGAAGAAATTACTAATTTCTGAAAAAGTATGAACAATGGATTGCTTCTAATAACTTTCTTGGTTTGGTGGGTCCCCATGAAAATGATAGCTAGCAACTTGCAACTTGGTTGTGTGTACCATGAATGAAATCCAACAAGATAGAGTTAGTTGGTACTTTGGATCCAGTTCGGCCTGTTAGAGAATCTCCTGTCGAGCCCAACTAAATATTAACAAATAAAAGAAACAAAAACAATGAAAATCTTAATTGAAAAGTCCACTTACTCGTTTGTCAATTAAATTAATTTCAAATGATTAAAACTGATTTAAAAAATAATAATATTATTAAACAAATAAAATTATAATTTAAAAATAAGCAGGGAAACTTTTGGGAATCTTGAACGAACAACAAATTAGGCTTTAATAGTTTTAACTTGGAAGCAAGAAATCTTCGGAATATATACTGTAAAAGTCCAATTCTTTTGCGTAGGTTGGTGTAACAAATTTTTAGTTCTGAGCTTTAAATGATGGCATTGACCAATTGGTTTAACCAATTTGAAGGTTCATTCGTAAAGAGAGAGACAATAAAAACTTATGATCAAAACTTTTCAATTAGGAGACTTCCTCAAACTACCTCATGAACTGGATTAAGAAAAAATTAATTCATGAAACAAACTACCTCATGAACTGGATTAAGAAAACATTAATGTTAAAAAAAAATTAATTCATGAAAAAAATTTTATTATTATTATTATTATTAAACATAATCTTTATATATATATATATATATATATTTTAATGAATTAATGATGTGCTTTGTTATTCTACTTTTATACAAATCTTTTTATGAATTCTATATATAAAGAACTACATTTATTTAAATTTATATACTTTTATCTATTTTTATTTTTTTAGTTAAGTAACCATATGTTCATCATTCATGTATTTAACCGTTAAAAATAGGTTAACAGCATGCTTGTATTATTACTATTATTATTGGAATTTTTCCTTGATTCTATTCAACTAATTATTTTAAACCCTATGCCACTTGTCAAAAATCTGTACATTAACTTATAATAAGATCATTACTTGAAAAATCAAACTATATTATTTATTTTTTCAAATTAAAAGATAAAGGATTGGAATGCAAAAACAGGACAAAAAAAATTAACAAGATGACCTTTTAATTTGGTATTTCCCCCCCATAATTTCAGGCTCAATTCTTTCCAATAAAAAATAAACTCACTCACCACAGATTCTGAGCCCCAAGAGCAGTGATCCAAACATTGTGAGAACATTTTTCAGCTGGTACCATTATGAACAGAGCTTGAGGGTTAATTTTACGGATCTTGACTGCGCATGAGCCCTCTTATAATTAGGCTGCATTTCAGAGAGAGAGGTAAATCAATCTTAGCAGCATGATGAGGTCGGTTAGGTATCTCCACTTCCCGTAATATTTACAGCATATTTCACAAACCATGATAACCAAAACCCAGCTGGATCTCTATCTAAATCCTTGAAAACACCAGTCCCACAAAAACAAGAATAAAATCGAGGAATTTTATTATAAACACGTCAATTTGTAGTCCACATCAACCAGCTGCCTGAAAATCTCCAAAATCATCATCTTGTATATCTTGTGAGCTTTCATTGTCAGGCAAATGTTGTTGTTGTTCTGCTTCATCCTTCGTCAAGCATGGGGACTTTTCAGTAGAAGTTCCTTCAAGAGTAATTTTTGGTGGCAAGTTTGATGGAGAATTCTGTACACTTGTAGCAGGTGAAAGCGGTGCTGGGGGAGGCGGAGGCGGTCTGATACTAAGCAAGGGTTCTTTTCGACCACTGTTTTCCTCCAATGACAGATTGTTCAGACCCTGCTCAAAAATCTTGGACTTCACACTACCTCTAGGTTTCTGTCATACCAGAAAGAGTAAATTTCATTACAAACATTAGGATGCATAACGTATCTATACACATTTGGGAAATGAGGATGCCAACGAGCTTACATTTTTTATTTGGAGTACAATAGTTTCCCCTTCTTTTAAACTGTAATCCACCGAGGAAGTTGTTTGAAAATGCTGCTCCATCTCTTCCGCAGTTTTCTTCTTGTCCAGATATCTTTAATAGACAACATAAGAGAATGCCTACATTAATCAACTTTATGCAAGTGGGAATATTATCTCTATATGAGAATAAACTGAATGCATTAACAGCTCAAATTCAAAGAATCTGTGGGGTGTGATCCTTGTATTGAAAAGGTACAAAATGCACTTATGGGTTTTAACATACTTCATGTGATCGTGCAGTGCTGCCTGGAAGTCATAAGCTTCTGCTCTTTCTCTAAATCCTATGCCAATAAATGCATGCCTAAGGCGACCACCTGCATGATTCCAAAAAACTAATTTAGTAAAGAAATTGAAAAAGAATCTGACTAAAGGAAAGGAGAATAATGCACACACACACACACACAAAATCTTCCCTAAGAACAATTTTCATAAGAATCAAAGTCTGTTGGTCAATATCATAAAATCTGAATATCAGCACATGACTGTGTGTGGAGATCTTTTGCTTAATCATGAATAGGTGAATAAGAACCCATTAAATGCAGGTTTCTGGGTTCTTTCAGGACACCATATGAAGAACATCAATGCATCAAGTTATATTTATCCCAGCCTTGAAGAACAAATTTATCACCATAAAGAGTGTTTCAAATAGAGTTTGCACACATGGGATTCTTTTTAAAAAACAGATAACAACAACAGTATAGAAGTAGAATCTTCAGTTAATGTAGAACTTGAACCAAGAGGCAGGCATGGTAGCTCACCAATATTTTCCTCTATTCGAAGAACAAAATATCTGCAAAAGAAAAGACATCCTCTCAAAACACAGTTATATGGGAATTCAGTTAGAAGCTAAGAGCCAACCTCAGGTTAAACAGAATGAATTAACTTTATGAATATAGGGCATATTTCATTCCTCTTATCAGTAGAATCAGTGATGCAACAAAGATATGCTTAAGATTCAGTGAGAAATGGGCTTAACCTGCTGCTATCAAGTACAGGTTCCACTGGATGTAGATCCCCATTTCTCAAAAATGCCCGGGCATATAATTCACCTATATAAATTAAATCAAAGCATAAGAGACACAGCAAAGTTCATCAAACAAAGACACTATATACCATTTTCTGCATCGTAGCGATTCAGAGATAATCTAACCTGTGGTTTTATCTTCAAGTCTGATAATGCACTCTTCACCCTTACTAATGACTTTCAAAGTCCCTTCCCAGGCCCATTTGTTAACATCCCATTCATCAGCCCTGGAATACACTTCAAGAGATATAAATATTCATACAATATGTAAAACCAAGTTTAAGCAGCAGATATAGTCCATAGATTCAACTAAGCAATCGCATTGTCTGACTGGCTACATTTGATTGCAGGAAAAAACATAGGAAGGATATGAAGTGACTGGATTTTATAACAGGTTGTGTTTATGAAGGTGAATTTAGATATTAAGTTTCTTTTAGAAATCAAACTCAGTACTTGAATATAATTTTCCAAACCTAAAATTCCCATGCATATAAGAAAATCTTTCTAGTAATTTCAGATGCTTTGTTGTTCTGCTGTGTATCTTTTATTTCTCAAAAGGAAAAAATTCATTTTGTCCACAATTCCTCTTTGAAAAACTCTTTGTGCAAGTATATCCTAATTTGGTCAAGCGTGACAAATAAAGTCCAAATCCTAACTAGGTTGATGGACACAATTTCTACTAGAGGATCTGAGCAACAATACAAATTGAATAAATTAACTTCTGCTTAGTTCACAATAAGAAAATAGCACTTTTATAAAATGAATATTGTATGAAAGACATCATTTATAAAATTTCTGATCAAAATCTATATCAGGCATCATAAAGACAAGCTGAGAAAAAACCTGTAAGAAGCAGCACTTTTCCTAGGAGGTATCTGCAGAAAAAAGAAATGAAAGTAGCTTAGCAACTGTTATCTAGTTTGAATTGGCTTGATCTACAAAAAACTACATTATGTGTGATTTAGATCACACAGAAAATAAGTGGCAAATTATATGATGCAGCTGATCAGTACGTGTCGTGTAATCATTTGCCTCAGTGACATAATACAATACTCTGGGTGGTTTAAAAAAACAAAGAAAGAAGTAAATAAAAACAAAAAAAAAAAAGGATCAAATTTTGATGGATTTGCAGCTGACTTCCTACATAAACAGCCGAGAGCAGAAAGTTAGCATAAATGTTAACATATTGGAAATTTGAGTTCAATTAAAAGTCTAAAAGATCATATCAAACATCTTAGACTTGTATAGATATTTGAACATGTAAACTTCCATACATCTGCAATACGTATGAAGACTAGAAAACAGATATGTACAAGAAATTAATGCCATGGCAGCACTTTAAAACATGTATTAAAGAGCAATGGGAAAACAGGTATCAGATACATAAAAGCAACATGACAATATGAACTATGAGTCTTTTACTTCCAACAGAAGGACCAAGTCATAGGACCTGTGCTTTAGGGAACAAGATTGTAAATTTTCAGATTCAAACAAATTAAGGAAGTTTGACTATATTTGGATTCTAACCAACCATAATCAACTCCCTGTTAGAAACAAAATGCAAGGAAAAGGGAAAGGAAGGCGGTCAATAATAAAGACAGTATACTGGAAAGGGGAGAAAATAGCCCTTTCCTTGGCCCTTAGTTGACATGATCCAAAAACATATTATCAAACTAGAAATATAAGTTTTTGAGATGCCCATGCACCATTTAATTCTTTCCAACAAATTAAAATTTTCTATAACCAGATCTCTCTAAATCAGCCTCATTCCTTTAAGTATCAGCCCGTAATTACTTCTAGGTGCAAGATCTGCAGCTTCAGACTTTTAGATACCACTTCTTATTTGACCATGATAATATCTGCCATGGAAATACCACTATTTCTATTACACATCTTTAATTGCAAATGACACTGCTAATTCCCACTATCAGAATATGAACAACAGAAAATCACTAATAAAGACAGCCAAGATTGTCTCTTCATAGATTTTGCCCTATCAATTATTAACACCGTCAATACTCAGTCCACAAGTACAAAAAGCAAGGACCTTTAATCAATGATGTTTCTTTTAGAACAGTAAAGCAATCCCCAAAAGCCCAACTGAGAACTTCTAAAACACAATTCACATAAATTTATCATATTTGATACAGTTATCTTCTTGCAACTCATCAAAAAAAGAAAAATGCTGCTGATTGCCACTTGTTCTGACGTTTCAATTCTTGATTGTAAGACAATTCTCAACAATAATTTTTCCCACTAAAATGAGCAAAACCCAGATCCAAATTCCCACTTTAGTTAACTACAACAACTGAAATCTAAGTTCTGTTCTCCTATCTGAAAATCAAAATTTCTTTTAAGGACAAGTTCCTGGGAAAAGGAATGGCCTTTCAAGGCTGGTCATACACAAAAAACTCAAAAGATCATTAATTACCACAAATCTCAAAAACCCATTCGCAAAATCACAAGAGAAATCAACTATACATAAATCAAAAGACAGCACAGCACATGCACACAGATACACATACAGAGAGAGAAAGTTACCATATAAACATAACATTCAGAGACTTGAAAGAGAATGAGCTCTATAGCTTCAGTTTCTTCACTCTCAATATCATTCGGTGCCTTCTCTACTTTCTCCATGATCTCACGAGAGAAAGATTAAATTTTGATACAGAAACAAGGATAGGTTAAATGAAGATGTGAGCTCACTGAGGTAAAGTTCGGAGCTTTACCGGAATTTAAGAAAAAAGAATACAAGGGGGTGTTTAAGAAACAAGGAAATTGAGTTTCAAGAGGGAATTTGTCTGTGGGTTTTCCCCTGCTTGTGCAATGACAGAGAACATGAGTTGCAAGTGCAAGTAATCTGCACCGTTAGATTGGGTAACCTTTAATGTATCTGCGCCATTAAATTTTAGGTCAGATCGAGGGCTGTGGTTAAATATTGGACGGTCATGATGGGGTCAACATGGGAGTTTGGTGTAGTAGTTGCTTGATTTCTAAGGAAGCATCAGTGGTTTGTCCACCAGGAATATCCAACCTAACTGGCTTGACCATGGAACGTGCTGTTTTTATTTTCCAAAGAGCATCCGGTTTTCGAAAAGGCTTTGATTAATTCAGATTCGAGTCGCTTAGAATTATAAAGACGATAAAGCGTTTTTTTACCGAGTATTTAACATCGTTATATTTTCAAGTCTGTTGTTTTTGTATTTAAAAGATATTTTTAAAATTTTAAAATATTTTATTTTAAAAAAATTAATTGTTTATGTTATCATTATTTTGATTCACCGATATTAAAAATAAACTTTAAATTAAAAAAATATTATTTAAATATATTTTTAAATAAAAAATATTCTCAAAAATAATTTCTATCACACAGAATCTTAAGCCTCGGCTTTTGTAGATCTCTTGAATGACTCTCAAGTTTGTGATTTGATGATTGATATATCCATAACACACAGCACAATTACACAGATAAATCTACAGTATGCTATGGTGGCATTGGAAACATACCTGAGGAATCTTTAGCTTCGGCTGCATGAGAGAGCAGAAAACACCAGATTAATAATGATACAGCAGCAGGAGAGTTATTATGACTGAATTATATAGCCATGAATGCTTACTGATTAACCTGACACACCGCAATTGTGCCTCCGGGGCAAAGTAGCCTGAATGCTAATGGTAGTAATAGTTGATTAATAAAAAACTTTACAAGCGTTTTATTAAATAGCAGTTGTTGTTAATAAAACTGTGTTTTTTTAATGGTAATTGAGTCAAAATTACACTATTTTTTAAATTCTTTTCTCTTATGTTATTTCCCAATTCTTTTTTTTATAGGAGAGCCAACAATTGAGCCTCCAGAGCGAAGTAGCCTGGATGCTTCCTGCAGAATTTTTACTATTGCTCTCAGGAAATTCATGAAGCTGCATGTATTTCAGGGAGCTGGAAGCATAAGTATCTTCGTATATTACGCACAAAGAGCTTTTCGAATACAAATCAAACGAGCTTTCAACTACATTTGGAAACCAATTGCTGTGAGGGTGATCTTGTTATCAGGCAACATGTTATAAACCAGTGTTTTCCTTTCTTGATCCACAAATACGTTTCCAGAGTTCAAATCCTGATCAATGCTTGAATCGTAAACAAAATCTTGGGTCCTTTATTAATAAATTCCCAAATGTCAAACTCCAACAGCTTTATTTGCTTTCTTCCGAGGCTAATTATACTCCAGTCTACCATGTACAGCTTTAGACTATTGGGAATGCATGGATGGCCACTGAAGAAAAGGTATCGTGTTTAATCAAAACTTTCATTGCATTTCCAGAGCTTTGAGAAGCATACAGCTTTACAGAACTGCACATACCACATATGAAATGGAAACAAGATCAAAAGTTGGGATGGAAAGCCTGTGTCTTCCGCCTTAGCATGCGCCCATTTAGCAGGATTCTTTCTATGGATAATTCTGTCTTCTTTCCCTTGAATTTGCTACAGAAAGAAGAAAGGCTCCAGCTCCTGCAGGTTGGGATCCACATCCACATACGAAAAAATGAGCAAGTTTCAGCCAAACAACTTGGGAGCATCTTAGCTCCATTGCTCATATGTACAGGACTGTTAAAGTGATCTCGTAAAAAATTGAAGATCGAACTTACGGCGACATTCGCAGAAGGAAACTTATCAGCCAGAAATCATGTGCTCACCTACAGAGCATCCAATATCTAGAATGTCTCTTATCATGGAATTCCCGGAGTACTGTAGATGATGTTGTTCAATTGCCTGAAGCCAATTTCCACGCGCTAGCTTCTTGATTTGCTTCATCTACTGCAGAAGCATTAGGCATTGCGCTCCTCACCATTGACATGGTTGCAGCTTCAGCTTCAGCTGCAGCCTCACATTAGACATGTGACTGCAATGGGATTGTCCTTTCTTAGATATTTTACGTTGAAAACTATCAAAACTACAAGATTTAACCTCATCGCGTATATATGTCTCAAGAATTATCTCTTCTTTTATTTTCAGTTAACAAATTTTATATTATCAAAAAAAGCATCTATAATGCTGATATTTTTTTTATTTTACATTTGAAATTAACTTAAAATCCTTGGATAAATTAAGTAGTTTTAAACTATAGACATTACTAGCATAATTATGATAGCGTAAAACAACTTTTAACAAAAAAAAAAAATTTAGTTCTTTTCGTGATTATTAAAAATTAAGATAAAAATTATTTTTTAAAATATTTTTTATTTGAAAATATATTAAAATAATATTTTTTTTATTTTTTAAAATTTATTTTTGACAACAGTATATTAAAATAAAAAATATTTAAAAAATTCAAAATTTTAAAAAAATACACGACTTCTTATACGTACTTACCCTTTTGTACTGGATCAATGCTTCAATCTCACAGTCAACATTGCCTTTTCTAGGCCGTAAAGTTGGCCCATCCAAAAAGATTGATACTAATGTTTTTTAGCCATTTCCTACAGTTTCACTTAATAACATATTTATTTTTTATTTTAAAAATATTTTAAAAAATAAAATTTTTAAATTTTTTTACTTTAAATTATATTTTTTAAAATTTTTAGATCATTTTGACATGCTAATATTAAAAATAATTTTTAAAATATAAAATATATTATTTTAATATATTTTTAAATAAAAAACAATTGCAATCACACAAATTAAAACATAAATAAACTATTTAAGCAGCCTCTAAAAAATATTAATTCAACAAAACTGTTAATACAATTATATTTGGAGTGAGATTATTTTTCTCTTTTTCAGAATAATTATTTGATAAAAATATTTAAATAGCATATTTTGTTGCAATACCTCTAATTAAAATGGAGCGTTCTTGTATTTTTAGAAAACATGGATAAAAGATGAAAGGAAATACAATCCCCTTCATATAAATATGGGATCCATGAAAAAACTTCACGTTCAATCACATATTTTTACGAGAGAGTAGAATATAGCTCTCCAGATAACTAATAATTTATGATATGATTTATAAATTAATGACATTCTTAATGTACATGAAAAAACAAAAATAATAATCTCTTTGAAATAAAAGAGTACTAAATAAATTCAGAGAGGGAACTAGTAGGATATTTTCTTTCTTGTTTGACTTTCTAAATTTAAATCTTAAAATCGACACTTATAATAATATATTTGTAATGTATTAAACAATTTTAATACTAAAAATAAAGAACTTTATCATTATCTATTAATTTAAAAATACCACATTAATTGCGCTTATAGATGCCAATAACAGCAAGAAAGCAGTTGGGGAATATTGTTAATAATAACCTTGAATTCTCAAGGAAGTGTTTTGTTTTTTATAGTATAACTGTGTTTTAAAAAAAAAAATATTTTAAATTAATATTTTAGTATTTCAAAATTATTTTAATATGTTAATATCAAAAATAAATTTTAAAAAATAAAAATAATAATTTAATATATTTTTAAATTAAAAAAACTCTAAAAAATAATTATTGCCACAATTCTAAATACTATCTGAACATTTATTAGCAAAGGAAGGGCTATTAATTAATACACTACTATAAATATGAACCAAGGAAAAAGATTGATGTGGGCATAAAAATTCAAGCCCCAAAGTTTTTGATTTTGTTTTAGTAAATAATATAGTTTAGAGAATTATAAATATTACAAATATTATTTGTAATTTTTTAAATATATTTATATTATAGTATGGAGTATTTTTTATTTAAAAATATATAAAAAATTAGTTTTTATATGTTTTTTTTACATTAGCACATTAAATCTATCAAAAATATCTTAATAAATATTAATTTAATATATTTTTTTAAGTAAAACACAATTTTTTCACTGCATCTATAAATAAAAACTACATCACTTCAAACACTCATTAAAAACAAATATCATAAAAAGATTGTAACTGAAAATTCACCAGTCACATGGATGACATGCTCGAAGCCTCGAAAAGACCAACCCCACACTGGGTCAACGGAGACGTCACCTGAAAAGCAATTACTTACGTAATTTCTTGAAACTGATAAATGTCGTTTCACACCACCTCATCCTCCAAGACCAAATGTTGTTGTGAAATTTTATATAAGAACAACTGAGACTAGGCTTGTAATCAAGCATTAGCTTATGCACTAGCGTGTACGAACTAGATCCTGTGTGGTGTGTTAGCTCATCTTCTCTTCTCTCCTTTTCTTTTTACTTTCATTTCTCAGTCTTTTCTCTTCATTTTTTGTATACTAAAGCTCCATGGAACTACCAAGAATAGCTGCCAACTCTGGTAGTTTGAGAACTCGATATATCATCGAGACAAAGAACCTTTCTTACAAGCTATGCGGTCAAATCGATGAATTAAACTGGCTTCTCTGGAAGAAGACGGCGGATGATAACGCGTACATTTTGAGGAAAGTGAATTGTGAGGCACGACCTGGGGAGATAATGGCAATTGCTGGTCCAAGTGGGGCAGGAAAGAGCACACTGTTGGAGATTCTTGCTGGTATAATTCCACCTAGCAGAGTTTCTGGTGAAGTTCTTGTAAATGGGCAGCCGATGAATGCCAGATGCTTTCGAAGGTTATCGGGGTACGTAGCACAAGATGAAGCGTTTTTCCCACTTCTAACAGTCAAAGAAACGCTCATGTACAGTGCTCGCCTCAGGTTGCCAGGCAGTTTCCATACAGCTGCAGCTATAGTTCAAGAATTATTGAAGCAACTTGGATTGGAGCACGTTGCCAATGTGAGAATTGGCAGTGAATCAAACCGAGGAATTTCAGGTGGTGAGAAACGTAGAGTTTCTGTAGGCGTAGATCTTGTTCATGATCCGGGTGTTCTTCTAATTGATGAACCAACATCTGGATTGGATTCAGCATCAGCTCTTCATATAATTCTCTTGCTCAAATCTATGGCTATTAAGCAAGCTAAAACAATCGTTTTGACCATCCATCAACCTGGTTTCCGCATTCTTGAGCTGTTTGATAAGATTCTGTTGTTATCAAATGGAACTGTTCATCATCATGGTTCCTTGCATCTCCTCAAACAGCGGCTTAGATTTGCTGGTCATTTCATTCCTAGGCATGTTAATGTGCTTGAGTTCGCTATCGAGATGACAGAGTCCCTGGCCATGGAAGATAGTGAAGCAAGAGAAACAGAAAATAGTGATGTAGCACAAGATGAAGAGCTTACCAGAAGGAATCCTAACCGATACAGCAAAATCAATGTGCTTGAGTTCGCTATCGAGATGACAGAGTCCCTGGCCATGGAAGATAGTGAAGCAAGAGAAACAGAAAATAGTGATGTAGCACAAGATGAAGAGCTTACCGGAAGAAATCCTAACCGATACAGCAATATTGAAGAAACTATTTACGCCAATGGTCGATTCAAGGAGGTTTTAATACTGGGTCAGAGATTCTCCCATATCATTTGCAGAACCAACCAGCTCTTTGCTGCAAGAATACTACAAGCAGTGCTTGGTGCGGTTGTTCTTGGAACTTTATTCATGAACGTAATGAACGATTCAAAGAGACATAAACTTCAGACTCAAATTGGGTTCTTTGTCTTCAGCCTCACCTTCTTGTTGTCATCCACAGCAGAAGGGCAGCCCATTTTCTTGCAAGAAAGAAGAATTCTAAAGAGAGAAACCTCAAAAGGAGCTTATAGAGTTTCTTCTTATGTTGTATCAAACACTCTAGTTTTCCTTCCGTTCCTTTTAGTTGTCGCTATACTCTACAGCACCCCAGTATACTGGCTGGTTGGATTGAGAAGGACAACGGATGGGTTTCTCTACTTTTTATTGGTGGCATGGATGGTTGTTTTGATGTCAAATTCATTTGTTGCATGTTTTAGTGCTCTTGTGCCAAATTTCATCATGGGGACCTCTCTGATTGCTGGCCTAGTGGGGTCGTTTTTCCTTTTCTCTGGGTATTTCATACCGAAGGACGACATGCCCAAGTATTGGATCTTCATGCATTATTTGAGCTTGTTTAAGTACCCTTTTGAGTGTTTTATGATAAATGAATATGGAGGAGAGGAGGGTAAGAGGAAGTGCTTGAAGAATATAGAAGGATCCTGCTATCTGTACGGGGAGGAGTTTCTGAAGCAACAAGGTGTTGAAGAATCAAATAAATGGAGTAATTTAGCAGTAATGACAGGTTTCATTCTTGGATACAGACTTCTTTGCTTTCTAATTCTGCTGTGCAGATCATACAGAACAAGAATTTAAAATATTTTCAGCAATCAAATAAGAAAGCTCATTCAAGAATTATTGATATTGCAAGAGGATTTTCGGGAGAAGCTATTCTTTCTTTTTATTCTCTTATAGAAATCATTCAGAACCAGATTAAAATAATTTTAAGCAACCATTCAAGAAATATATACATCAACTTCAGTTCTTGGCTCAACAAGAGTAACCCAGCTTCCAAGGGGCTTCAACCTTAGCATCCAACTTTCTTCTGATTTCAGGCACTCAAAATAGTAATTAAAGCTTGACAGGGTGAGTTCTTCGTTCATCTTTTCCCTTGAACATCTACCTAGCACACATTTATTGCTCCGTTTCTGCGCTAACATATTAGGTGGGAAATTAAGATTGCAGCAAATAATCTTACAGGTGATCAATTGACATGAGTCTTTGCTTTTTGTAGGATTATTTTTTATGCATCGACCTTCAAAAATCTTAATTCTAAATAATAATATGATATATTTTGAATGATTTTTCTTAGTAGAGGGTGGTCACTTGACACCCTTAGCGATAAGCTATCCTCGGTAATTAACACAGCTCTAATATCAAGATCAACGGATGTACACAGAAACAATATTGGAAAGAAAGAGAACGAGTATCACTGTAGAACAACTTTAATTCAAGATTTTATTACTTAATATTTCCTTTTAATTATTTTGTTGTTCATGATTTTTAAATAAATCTCAAAATGATTTGAAGATCAAGAAAATAATAAAAGGCCTAAATAAATTAAAAAAAAAACTAGCCGAATAACATCTTTTTAGGCCCGATTTGAAGGTATTTTGAAGCTCAATTATACCAAATCAACCCGTTTTAGAATGGATTGGAAAAAATTGAATGCAATTTAACATTTGAATAAAAAGTTATTGCTTCTTTTTTCTTTTTCCTTTTTTCTTTTCCTGCTCCCAGGCCACTCACTCTACTCGGCCTATGCCTCTTCTTCTTGTGCTTATTCATGTTTCATTGCTTAGTTATAACAGACTCACAATTAATTGATACATAAAATGCGTGTCCAATGAACATTCGACGTTTGATGCTTACCTACACATGTTTGAATGGACTCTTATCATATTCATATCATGTTGAAACTTAGGATACCTCCCATGCGGTTAATATTTAGCAAATACTGAATTCCAGTGCTTGACTTAGCGATAGAATTCGAGCTTTGATGTGCACGCCTGTCACCCCCGCGGTGTCTTATATGCCTACTGGGTTTGCAGGGTATTCAGTGGGTCGTGGGGATTAGTCGTGGTGCGCGTAAGCTGACCCGAACACCCCACGTAATTAAAAATAATAATAATAATAATATTTAGCAAATATTATATTGATGACTTACGCGAAGTAATTGTGGGCGGAACAAATTTTATTTCAATTTGAAAAAAAATTAAGGAATGATTGTGTTTTTAAAGGAGTAAGAGAAATTCAATTATTAGATTAAACCTTCATTAATTTGATAATATAATAAAGAATTAGAAAACAATAACAAATAAATTAAAAAAATATATTGCACCGAGTAACTCTCATTAACACATGAAATTCATTAGTTAACAAATAAAATTGATATAATCTTATATAATGATTGAATTATAAAAAAAATATAAAATATGAATATTAAAAAATAATTTAAGTCAACTCGGTTAAATCTTTCAACCCATGACCTGAAAGGGTAACAAAAAATAATTTAAGTCAACTCGGTTAAATCTTTTAACCCATGACCTGAAAGGGTAGTAAAATCCTAATCAATCAAATATTAAAGGATAAAATTAAAAAATAAGGTATCAATAAAAAGAATTAAAAACAAAATAAATAGCAATTAAAAAAATAAAAATCAAATCTAATATAAAATAAAATAAAATAAAAATCAAATTTAATATAAAATAAACTAAACTAAAATATTAAGGAATCTATTTGAAAATATAATTTAATAAAAAATAAAGATTAAGTTTGAAAATTAAAAAAAAGGGTTAAATTGGAAGAAAATTTTAATTTTATGTTTGAAAATTAATTAAATAAATAAAAATAAAAATAAATTAAATTAAATTAAATTTTAAAAAATAAATTAAATGATTGGTTTGAAAATATGAGATGATTGACTTTGAAATTGAGAGAGAGGGGAAAGAAGGAAGTAAAAAAAAAAAATGGGCACCAGAAAAAAAATGGGCACCAGCACAAAACCTTACATGTTTTTGCCACACATGCCGCTTAGAAATGAAGGCAACACTATAAGGATTAAAATGTTATTGTGCAAGCTGAAATTTAACTTCAAAACGATGTCGTACATTATATTTAAAAATCACGAGAGAATCCATATGTATTTGTGTTAGCTTCATTTATCGTTATCTTTTTAATATTAAATAATATTTAATTTATACCAAAATACTGAACTTTCCATGGTCAAACTAAAAAATTACAAAAATTAAAAAGATAAAAACACCCCTGACAAAAAACAATTATGATTCAAAGGTATTATTATAATTTTACAGTGCAACTAAAATTAAAAAGTCAAAAGTGCCCATGCCAGTCAATGTTTAAGTTTTTTTCTAATTCCACTATGCAAGGAACAACAACATTGGTTTGAAAATCCCGTCTGGTTCAAGCAAATTTGAGGCCGAAAGCGAACTGAGTTAAAAAAATAAAAATAAAAAAAACTTTGTATAACCTGATAAAATCCAATAAAAATTCTTGTTATAATTTTTTATTTTTATTAAAATAATATTATTTTAATTAAAAAAAATTGACCCAAACAACACGTTAACCCCGTCAAACTTGAAGTTCAGAACTTGAACCGGGCCTGCCACAAAGTTGGATTTGAAAAATATGCTTTTAAGTAATGCATCATTTGACAAAATATGAATTTGATAAATGAGTCTCATTCTTATCATCCTACCATCATCTTGGAGACGAATCAGAACTCGGACTTTAGTGGGGGATGGCATATCAATCGCTTAATTCTTATCTGAGTACGGCGAATAAGAACTTGTGATTGCAGACAATGCCTCGTATCATCCCGCATGGGAATCTTACGTGAGTGCGGTGTAGGGAGACAGAGCCTACGGTAGTGAGATGAGCATTGAGCAGTAGTGCTATCATAGCTGTGGTTCATCTTTGATTTATATATTCACTCTTGTCATCGTGAATATTCTCTAGTTTTGTACCCATTCATTGTTAATTGTCGGCTTAACATATGGCCATGGAGTTTAAGGTTAATTGTCTCTCTTTGCCTCGTAGAAGTTGTAATGTATCCAATGATCATGTTCTCATCCGATGACCTGTGCTTGCTTTGTTCTATCAGCAAGAAAAATATGTTCTATCATCTTTTTCTACCAGTAAACTTGATCGTTTGTTCTGATCGCAGGTTGGTTACTGGTCGACTCTGATCTTCCCGATCAGTAGAGAATTTAGTTTGAGACTTGTCTGTGCTCATGGATCGCGAGTTGGATTAATTTAAAAAATATATATATGAAAAAAGAAGCAAATATGTTGCCAACATGTTTCTTAATAGAGAAATAATTTAATTATAAAATAAGTTTTGATATAGATTAGACAACATCTTCTTTTCATTGGAGATCATTATATTTTTAAAAAATATATTAAAATGATGAGATATTAGATTCATCTTAGCCAATTTTAATTAAAATATAAAATTATAAATTTCAATTTTCAACACTGATTCATCTTAACCAATTTTAATTAAAATATAAAATTATAAATTTCAATTTTCAACAACCCAATTGAAAAACGGAATTGAGTTCATAGTTTGGCTCTCCAATTTGTCTGCTTCTGATCATATTTCTCGGTTTATTAGGCATAAAACCACAATTTCAGTTCATAATTCATCGGTTGAAAATAACTTCAACGAGATGCTTTACTTGAAACACATTCTTTTATTATTTTGCAGATCCAAGTTTATTGAAAAGGCATGCAGGGGGGCGTTCGACACCATTAATCCAATTTTAGAACATAAAAGTAGGTCAATTTAGATTAAACAATACGCTTACATCTACAGGATTTCAAGGGGTTCATCCATAAGATCAAACCTTCTTATGATGCCAGACACTCAAATCTAGTTATAACTCGTTTGAAATACACATTCTGCTGTTACTTTTATGACAGTCTGCAGCTTCTAAAGCCATTTTAACTCTCTTTTCCCTTCCATTTCCCCAAAAGAAATACACTTTCTGTCAATCATTTTTCATTTATTGAAGACCGTGAGATTGGTAACATGTATGTTCACTCACATTGAGCATATGACACAGTGGAGCTCTACAATGCTAAGCATAAAAAGAGACTTGACAGCAAATGTAAATGTTCAATGCCGACAAAAATAACACTGCTGAAGCACTGTGGCAAGCAAAAGCTAAAAGCCAACTTACGTTAATTATTAAAACTTCTGTCGAAGATGTAATTGAAATAACTTCACAAAGAAATTATGTTGAGATAATACACATTATAATTACTACACCATGCTATCAATAACTTTCATTACAACAAGTGTAGCACGTCCAGCTATCTATCTGTCATGCAGAGATGAGACGCGTGTAAATCTACGATTCTCGTTTTCAGACAGAACAAGCCAAACATGCAAGGAATCAACTGCAGAGATCCCCAGAAGAAGATGATGAGAACGGCTGCAACAAAGCAACCCTTCTCCTCTTATTCGAAAGCGTGGGTTTTAATGAGAATTCCTGCGAGGCAGAGAATTTGTCAAGTACAGATCTAAAGGCCTCGTGGACGGAGCCAGCGAGAAACTGGCGTACTTTGCTATCACCACCGAGCCCTTCTTTGCAGCTGCTCACCACAAGAACGTTCATCATCCTGCCCTCCAAAGTCGCAATCTCTGCCCTCGTTATCATCAGATGGAGAGCATCGAGTGCTTGTCTTAAACCAGACAAGATTTCAGGCTTGTAATCGCAACATATAGATGCCCTGATTAAACAAGGGGCACTGCACAAACCATCCTCTTCCTCTTCCTGTTCTACTCTCAC